GGTGTATTTACTCAGTGTCAGTGGGTTACTTATGCTGTAAAAAATGTTTGGATTTTGGTTTTTTTAATTGCTGGGGGAAAATGCATGCACTCCAAAATTACTGAAATATTGTAAATGGAGTCAGAATATTTAACCATAGCAGCATTTAAGCAGGGTCATTCCTGACAAGGTCGTTCCTTACCTTGCTAATAATTGCCCACGGATGTTTTGATAGTCCTTTCATACATGCTTGTAAATGAAGTTCTGTAAATAGATTTCTCTGGTTAAAGCCTGTTTGAAGTCCCAGAGCTGGATATGCTTCATTGCACAACTTCCATGATTGGACAGAATATTATGTTTTTTGCTAAATGTTGTATGTATTTTTATTCCTTAATTGAATTATAGCAATACATTATTGGCCCTGGCAAAGCAGAGTAAAGCTCTTGGTGCATATAAATTGGCTCGTCATGCCTATGACAAGCTGCATGGACTGCAGATCCCAGACAGGTTCCAGAAATCCGTGGAGCTGGGCAGCCTGACAATCCGATCCAAGCCATTCCATGACAGTGAAGTAAGCTGTAATGTGTTTCATGTTAATCATTAATATGTGGCCTAATCCTAGAATATGAGATCCTGTGTGCACAAAACAATCTGAAATACATTATTCATGGCTCTGTGATATAATTATTGTTTCTGCTGGAAACACAGTCCTTTTATTGTTATTCTTCAAGTCAGACTTCCTTCTGCTCCTGAGAGCAAATTAAAATCAGCCCTCTCTTTGTGGGCAGCTTCCATCCTCCCTCTCCTCTCTTGCAGTCACCTTCCTCGCTGCCGATTAATTCTTCCAAGCCCTTTTCTCCCCAGTTCACATGCTATTGTTCCACAGTCTTTGTTTCTCTCTCCAGCTGGAGGTCACTTTCATTTGTCCCACTCTGAGCACTCTTTCCCTCCTCCCTCCATCCCTTCAGTGACCTTCCTTCCGTAAATCTTATTTTAACACCTTTTCTTCTTTCACTGAAGTCTGGCTTTCTGCAGTGTTCTATAAAGCCATGTCTCAGGGAGTACTCACTAAAAATAAATTGCATTGTACCAGTGAACACGCACCTGGCCTCCTGAAATAATAGAAACACACCCTTTAAGAACTGCCTAAAATAACTCTGCTCTTGAAAAGAGAGGAATTAATTGGGGAACCTAAATTTGACCAAATCTTAGAGCAAAAAACTTTGCTTCAGTAAACTTCTCTTCAGCTTCTTTTTGTCCATGTGTATTTGATGCAGAATTCCGCTTCTCTTACTGCAAAGGCAAGGTGAAAATTTAATTGTTAAAATGGTGAAGACAGCTATTTTTAATGGGAGAACTTGCTGGTTTGTTAAAAAGGGAAACATTTTCAGATGTTGAAGGATCTGATTTCACAGCAGTGCTTCTGCAGACTGGTGCTGGTGTTGTGTCGGTGCTGTCAGCCGAAGGGGCCGTATTTAACTGAAAACAAAGAGCTGAGGATGTGCAGGTCTGTGATTACCATACTCTCAACCTGTCTTTCCAGGAGCTCGTGCCCCTGTGTTACAGGTGCTCCACCAACAACCCTTTGCTGAATAACCTGGGGAATGTCTGCATTAACTGCAGGCAGCCTTTCGTCTTCTCGGCCTCCTCCTACGGTGCGTTGGGACATCGCGCTTGCTCATGCTTTGCGAGTAGATAAACGTTAACAGAGTAGGTTGCTGCTTAATTTCTTCGCTCTGCAATGTTGTTTGGCCAAATAAATGTTCCTTTACTGTTGTTAAATTGCACTAAGAGGGGTTGTTGGCTCTCACTGCAGAGCCTTGTTTTGTGGCCAGACACTGCAATGCATCTAGTGTTCTGTGAAGGTAAACACAATCCTTTCAGAAATTCAGGGGGTTTGGTTTGCTGTAATTTTATTGTAGTTAATTTGTTTCATGGGAGAAGGTGGGCAGAGCACCACAGATGTGAAGGAGCCCAGTATCTGCCATGAGCCATTCCCTGAGCTCCTGCAGGTCAAACACTTCCTGCCTTTCCCCACTTTTAGAGGTGCTGCATCTGGTTGAGTTCTATTTGGAAGATGGCATCACAGATGAAGAAGCTGTAGCTCTCATTGATCTTGAAGCTCCAAGAGTGAGTAAAAGAGAGAATAAATGGCAAGAGATGATGAGTGACCGTATCCTTTTGATTAGAATTGGTTTAGTTTTCTTAGGGAAAAATGGAATGATTTTGAGTTTATTTTTCCCCCTAGATTTAAACCTTTATTTTTGTCATATGACTGATGTAAGTACAATTGCATCTTGTTTCTCTGTCGTGTTATAGTATATATAGTATAACAACCAAAATATGGTTTAGCTAAACCTAATATTGTTAAGATGCTTTTCCATCAGGACAGTTTAGTTATAATCCTGTGCAATGTTTATTTTTAACAGTGAAATGCCATGCTTTACCTGTTCTGTGTGAACTGCTTTCTGACAAGGATGGGGGGAATCTGGAGTGTGTTGCTTCCAATAACAGCTTCCTTTAGAGGCTGTTTTCTCTCAGCCAAGGGAAGTAGCACTTCACAACTGTTCCTGTTGAGATCTGGTTTGGAATGCTTTGGCATTCAGAGCTCCCAGTTGCTGGGGGGATTATAGAACATGAGATGCAGAGTACTGCACAAGAACACACAAACTCTGACTAAAGCTGCCCAAAAATGTGACTTCAATGGATTGCTTTCTTTGCTCTGTCATCTGTGGAAGGGTAAGAGCTGATGTCATGCCTGGCTGTGGTCAGTCTCTTCTGGCTGTTCTACAGCAGCTGCAGTGATAAACTTCCCCAGGCACTGGAAATCCCAGCAAGGCCTTCTTGGTACTTTGTGTAAAATGGCCTGGGCACTGTCACAGTTTGAGATACTCTGAAGCTGCAAGGGTACTGATCCTGCTGGGGTGCTCTCATACTGATTCTGTCAGTGCTGCCTATGGTAAGCAGAGCCAGTTTTACATGAATTGTTGTCCTTCCTTAAGACATGCATCCAGATACTCAGAGTTTGAAGCTTGATGACAATACAGATATAACTGAAGATGATGATCCCTTTACAGCAAAACTGAGCTTTGAGGTAAGAACTGTACATGTGTTTACTAACAGAAATTAATAGAAAATTTTACTTTACAAAGCTGCTTTTCTGGTGTGTGTGTGTGGTACAACAAGAGCTGCAGAGCAGGGAACTGGGAAGAGGGATGGCACTTGAGAGGGAAATGGACTAACCAGTTAACTCCTCCCTTAAGAACACAAACAAGACCCCTCAAAACAGACAAACTGAACAGCAAAACCACCACAAAAACCCCCAAACAACAAACAAATACAAACCTCACAAAACAACAAATATTTTAAACCAAACACTCCTAGAATTTTGTTTCCTCACCATGCACTGGTACAGCAGCAACACACCTGTAGAGCAGGCCTTACTGGGAGGGTTTCATAGAGACTGTGAGCATGGCTGTTACTTGCAAGGAATTGTGTTAAATAGATAAGGGAAGCTCACTGGAAACAGATGTGGCTGGATGCTGAAGGTTCGGATAAAACTGACGGGGAGTTTGGTGGGACAAGCTTGGGCCAGTTCTGCATTAGCTTCTTCTACTGAATTTTACTTTGCTTCTTACAACAACTTACAAATGCTGCAAGGGCTTGTTAACAGGATTGTTTGTGCATGTGCAGCAGGGAGGCTCGGAGTTCGTGCCGGTGGTGGTGAGCCGTGCCGTGCTGCGCTCCATGAGCCGCAGGGACGTGCTGATCAAGCGCTGGCCGCGGCCGCTGCGCTGGCAGTACTACCGCTCCCTGCTGCCCGACGCCTCCATCACCATGTGTCCATCCTGCTTCCAGGTACTGCTCCACACACAGGTGTGGAAATAAACAAAAAGCCCTGGCCAAACCTGATGGGTGAAACTCTGCTAATCATAGAAACCTCACGCTCTAAGATGTACTCAGCAAATTCCTGCGTGAGGCAGAGCAGTGAAACCCCAGCTCTCAGCTGTGCGATAGACACAGGAGCAGCTGCCTTGGGAGACTTGGCCGTAGCTGAATTTGAGAAGTTGCCCTGAGAGCAAGTCAGAGCCTCTTGAGCAAACCTTGGCTGACCAACAGAAGCTGATTTGTATTTATTTCCTTTTGCTCTGTCTCTTTGACTTGTAGCCTGGTCTAGCAAGGAAAACCAGTCAGTGACCATTACTTGTGGTTCAGTCCTGCTCCTGCCTCGCTCAGAAATGACTTTTTAAAATGCTGGAATTCAGTCATGTTTTCTTACACAACTGCCTAATTGTCCACCCTTTTGCAAAATTAGTTAATGGGTTTGTGCCTTCTCAGCAGCACTGGCAGAGCTCTGGGAAGTGCTTGCTGCTCTGTTCCAGGCTGTAGGACCAATTCTCTGTGATCAGTTCTGTGTGACCACAGAATATCTGTGATACTGAGCAGCCATTGAGCTCAGTTTGCATTTTCTTGAGCAGGGTACAGGCTAACTTGTTTTAAATATGTTCTTAATTGACAGATGTTTCACACAGAAGACTATGAGCTCCTCATACTGCAGCATAATTGTTGTCCATTCTGTCGGCGGAGAATAGATGAGTCAAACCAATGAAGAAAGCCAGCCTTTTACCTCAACATCAGACTCCCCTGTTGGCTTGGCAAAACACTTCTTAGATCTGTAGAGCTTTCCTAATAACTTAGTTACGTCATCTTGTCTCATTTTGTATGTAAGAGTGGAAGAATTGTAACTATTTTTTAAAATTAAAATGTCTGTTTTTTGTGAATGTGCTCTGCATTTTCCAGACAAGCAGCAAGTGCCACAGAATTTTACAGGAACATTTCTAGGATCAAGTTCAACCTTTAAGTAACTGGTTTTTACTCCAGATTGTGCTCCTTAACACACACCAGTTGACAGATCTTCAAATAAATAGGACTATTTTTCACTATTTGTTGTCTCAAAATTTGCTATAATACTCGTGCTTCTGATCTTGAATTTCTTATTCCTTTCTATTCCGTTTAGGCAAGAGCAGCATTTAGAACCCTTCAAATACAATCTGAAAAGTTCCACTACTCTTGGCACTGGTTGCATCTGACAGCCCCCCAGAGGTAGGTGCTGGCTGAGTCTGTGTGGAATTCACCCTTTGAAGAGCAGCCTGTCAGGCTGTGCACACCTGAGCTCTGTGCTGCTGCCACGGAGGGCTGTGCCAAGGAGTGCTGCTGAGCACGGTGTCCCCAGCGTGGTGTCAGTCCTGAGCTGAGCTCTGTGTGTAGTGGGAGGAGACAGACCTGCTGCTCTCTGCTGCAGCCTCATCTGGAGGCACAAGACATGGGGGGCATCAGTCCCAGGCAGTGCCCGAGCCCCTACATTGGCTCTCCCTACAGGGCTGGCCAGGAGAAAGGAGAGCAAAAGCCAGGAAACTCCTGTGTTGAGATAAAGACAGCTTAGTAGCTGAAGCAGAGCTCTGCTTGAAAGTAAAGTGAAGCAAGAAGGAATTTATTCCCTGCTTCCTGGAGAGCAGGGCTCAGCACGAGTAACTCACTTGGGAAGGCAAGCACAAACCACAAACACAACATCCTCCCTTCTTGCCCCTTTCCCTGAGCTTTTATTTTGGAGCACAACATCATCTGGAGTGGCACAGCCCTTTGGCCAGCTGTCCCAGGTGTGTCCCTCTGTTCCCATTGCTGAGGGGGCAGAGCAGGGGGAATGCTCAGCCCCGCTGCAGCACCAGTGTGTTCCCACTTCAGCCAGCAGCACGCAGCACCCCAGGCTGCTGTGGGGGAAGCAAACCCTGTGCCAGTGACACCAGTGTGCCCCTGGGCAGGGGAACACGGTGACCATGGCCACGGGGTCGTTGCCAGCAGCAGGGAGATGCACGTGGGTGACCAGCTGGGCTGGGAAGTGGTGCTGCTCTCGACTGGAAGCCAGCAGCAGCTGTGCCCATGTTGAGCCCTGCTGTGATGGCAGCCTGTCTGCTCCAGCCTGCCTTTACCCTCAGTGGGAAAGGACATGAGCAACTGGCTGAGGTGCTTGGTGCTGGCAGGGCAGCTCCCACGGGAGCACTTTGCACGTGAAACGGGATGTCTGTCTGCGCCAGTTCCTCTGGAAAAGGAGACCCTGCAATCACACTGCCGGGTTTCCGACTCCCTCGGTGCTTCCTGACCAAGTTTGCTTGATTTACCACTTTAAAAACATTCTGTTCTAATTACAGCTCGTCTGCTTTCTGACTCAGCTGTCACTGTTTGCAGTGAAGACTCTGCTATTGACATGGATAAACAATGCTGTTTGAGATGGGAGCCAGGGTGGAATTCAGCTCCTTCTGGAATTGAGCTGGCTGTGCAGTGCCAGTGGGAATGAAAAATTACAAAACTCGAGAGAAAGGCACAAAGACAAAATGGACCAAGACAAAATAGACCAATGCTTTTTTTAAACTCTGAATGTAGCCTAGCTTTGAAAAGCGTTTTGGGCTTTTCTGGGCAGAGACACTCTGCAGGTCTCGTACATGATGGAGCTGTTCTGTGCCATGCTGCCCTGTGCCATGGAGCCCACCAGCTCCATGCTGAGGAGTCCCTGCAGGTACAAGAGGTCCCACCACAGCACTTTGGTTGGAAGCTGTTGTGAGCAATTTGCCCTGTTCCTGTCTCTCACTGCCTGCTTGTCCCACTGCTGCATCCAGCGGTGACGCACGCCAGCCCTAAGCTCTGCACAGCAGCTGCTGCCTCAGCAGTGACTTACTGCATCAGCTTAAAGTGTTTTAGGAAATAAACCTTTAATCCCTGCATGGCCAGGTACAAGTGTAAAGAGCTGCATTTGCAGTTAGAAAGTGGCACTACTCTGGCACAAGTGTGAGAAATTAATTGAGAGGCACTTAGGGTGAACAGTGTGTGTGGACCTGGTGTTAAGGTGAAGGAAGACCTTTGGGACTGTCCAGAGACTGGCCTGCATTGGGCTGCCAGCAAGGTCTGCCACAGTCTGTGGTGCTGCTTCAGCTCCTTCCGCCTTCCCCACTTAGAGGGCAGGTTTCCCAGCCTGGACTCTGCTCCAGGGAGAGTACAGTGCTTTTTTCCATTAAACTTATTGCTAAGCTAACCTACAAGGAACATTGGTGAAAACTAGGCCAGGACTGGAGGAAGTTTATTAAGGCACAGAGGACATGAACTTCTGCCCACCTTGCACCTGTGAGCTGGAGCAGCTCTGGGACATCCTCCTGCACTGGATGAGGCTCTGATGTTCACCTGCTCCTGGCTGTGCTCAGCTCCCTTCCAGCCTCTGTCATCTGCAAAGGGGCAAAGCAAAGTCTCTGTGCTCACCTCCTGTACATTTTGTCCCACTGCCTCTGAAAAATGAAGGTAACATGTAACTCAGCTGCTGGTTGGCACAAGGAATGTTTCAAGCAAAACTGGGTGCATAGAGTGGTGAGTCAGGGAGACATGGAGGGCACAGAAGGCTCCAGCAATAGCCTTGCCTGTGGAGTTTGATTATGCAAGGTTTTGAGGAGCCTGAGGCTGTCTGTCAACCACCATATGAAGCTGAGTGCTGGCTTCAGCTCTGAACTCCCCGTCAGTGCCCTGGTCCAGCAGCCTCTCAGCACCATGGCAGAATGATTCCCATCCAGGACAGATGGACTGGGTTATCTATTAGGTGTTACCAATGCAGTTGGCATGACCCAAATCAGATACAAAGACATAAAAGAGATGTCAGAGTTGGTAACCTGCCAGTGGGCCGAGTGTTTCACGGTGCTGGTCAAACCTCCACAGCCAAATCCTGAGTAGAGAGGTGGCTGGAGCATGTGGAAGAAGGTTTGGTCAAGCTGCCTTCTGCAGCCTCCCACTGGCAATATGTGGAGAGGGCTCTCCAGTGGGGACTGGCTGGTCTCACAGATCCACATTCCCCTTGTGAGAATGGGGCTGGGACACTCCTCTGTCACTGAGGGACCACGCCACGCCTGCCCAACCTGGCCCCCAAACCCACAGTCGAGGTTTGAACCACACATCCCTCCTGTTAGTGGGGAAGGGAAAGGAAGAGTGAGGCTGTGCAAGGGAGCTGCTGCCTGGTTTGAGCCTCTCCAAATGAATGATGTGGTGCAGAGCTACCTCTTTTTATATCTGACCATGAGCCACGGTCTCCAACAATGACAGCACTGGCCAGAAACTGGTGTCACCTTAACACCTTCCCAGCAAAGCCAATTACCCTGGGATGATTATGATTAAGATTAATAATTCTCTAAACCCTAATCGTGCTGACACCAGTGCCTGGAGCTTACCCTGGTGGGGGCACTTTATAAGAGGTGCCCTGTGGAGGAGAGTGTAACTGGTTCTCCTTGGGGTGACAGCGAAGGCTGAGAGGTGGCAGGAGCTCCGTTTCAGAGACAATTCCCCCCTTGCACTAAAGAACTCCCAGAGTAAGCGCAAAGAGCGCCTCACGAACTGCAGCCATGAACGGGACAGAAGGCCAAGACTTCTACGTGCCCATGTCCAACAAGACTGGGGTGGTGAGGAGCCCCTTTGAGTACCCCCAGTATTACCTGGCTGAGCCTTGGAAGTTCTCAGCGCTGGCTGCCTACATGTTCATGTTGATTCTGCTCGGCTTCCCCATCAACTTCCTCACGCTCTACGTCACCATCCAGCACAAGAAGCTCCGGACACCTCTCAACTACATCCTTCTGAACCTGGCAGTCGCCGACCTCTTCATGGTATTTGGAGGCTTCACAACCACTATGTACACCTCCATGAATGGGTACTTTGTCTTTGGAGTAACAGGGTGCTACATCGAAGGCTTCTTTGCCACACTGGGCGGTAAGTTCTCCTGATTTTCAAATGTCTTCTGTCAGGAATTTCCCCAGATTTCAGGAGTGGGAGCAAAAACTGCTAAAATGATCTTGGAAAAACATGGTACCTGTAATGTCCTTGACCTGCTGCAGTTGTGGACTGAGGCCATTTGCCATGTTTCCAGGTAGGAGCTGAAGAAAGTGACAAGTGACACTATTTTTTAAAACTTTATTTTAGGAGCCACCTGCTCAGTATCCTGAGAACCACAGTGCAGCAATGAAAAGCAGCCAACACCAGATGTTGCAGTTGTTGAATTTGCACATCTCCTTGGCTCACTTTCTGACTTGAGAAATGACAGCTTTGTTCCTCCCATTTTGCAGGGCTGAATCTGCCATTGGCTCTGGTGTGGTGCATGGCAGTACAGGCAAGCGGAGCTGGCTCTCCTCCCCATGCCAGCATGGTATGGAACCAAACAGATGCTAAACAGAAGTTGTGTGTCTAAAAATGCCCTCCTCCAGTTGGCTCAGCCTTCAGCCACAGCTCCAGTTTTACTGGTTTGGTCCTCGTGGCACAAGTTTCCTGGGAAGCCGTGGGTAGTGAGGGGAGGTCCTGGCATGATGGGCACTGCATATTGGAGTGTGACCACAGGTGCGGGTGCTGTCTGGGATGGATGGTGGGATCTGCCATGAATCTCAAAACATTGCAGCAAAGTGGTTCCTGTGGGTCAGCAGTACAATGAGGAGGGGTCTTCTCACTCTGTCCCACCACATCTGCCCTTCACCGTTCATCCTTTGTCTTTTCGAACCCTTGGTGGAGATTAAGCTGCTGCCAGGGGTTGTCCTCAGGAACATCAGTCTGAGGAAGCTTCATGCTGCTATCATCTTTTATCATTTTCCTGTTTCTCAAAGTCCCTGTGTCCCTTTCTGTCCCTCTCCCTGGTGCAGGTGAAATTGCTCTCTGGTCACTGGTTGTCCTGGCTATCGAAAGATACGTTGTGGTCTGCAAGCCCATGAGCAACTTCCGCTTTGGGGAGAACCATGCCATCATGGGTGTTGCCTTCTCCTGGATCATGGCCTTGGCCTGTGCAGCTCCCCCACTTTTCGGCTGGTCCAGGTAGGGAGGGAACTGGACTCAGTGTCAGGGGTGTGTGAGCCTGGCTGGTGGCTCAGCTGTGGCTTCCAGCCCGTCTCCTGTGCTGACCTGCTGGGCTCACCTTGCAGGTACATCCCCGAGGGCATGCAATGCTCGTGCGGGATCGACTACTACACTCTGAAGCCAGAGGTCAACAATGAATCTTTTGTCATCTACATGTTTGTGGTTCACTTCATGATCCCACTATCGATCATTTTCTTCTGCTATGGGAACCTGGTTTGCACTGTCAAGGAGGTGGGTACCGCCAGATGCAGTGGCCAACAGGGCCACCCCTGTCCCCAGTGCTGGGAAGGGGCCCACACCAGGCTCAAGAATGGTGACAGTGAGGGCCCTCCAGGGGCCAGCCTGGCCATCCATGAGGAAGGAAATAGCAAACTTCAGATGTGCAGCTTGACTACCGTGAGCCCTGACCTTGTGTCCCTACTGGTGCAGCACCCACTGGCTCCATCACATTTCCATTCCCTTCTGCCCACAGGCTGCCGCCCAGCAGCAGGAGTCTGCCACCACCCAGAAGGCAGAGAAAGAAGTGACTCGCATGGTCATCATCATGGTCATCTCCTTCCTGATCTGCTGGGTCCCCTACGCCAGCGTCGCGTTCTACATCTTCACCAACCAGGGATCAGACTTCGGGCCCATCTTCATGACCATCCCGGCATTCTTTGCCAAGAGCTCGGCCATCTACAACCCTGTGATCTACATCGTAATGAACAAACAGGTAACTGGCAGGGGGCCAGGGAACTCCTCTTTTGTGTTTATAACAGCTGGCAGAGAGTCACAGCATCTCAAGGTGCCAGTGGTCTGGAGTGGGGACTGTTTTCAGGAGATCTAGTCCTGGCACATGGGAAACTGACTCTGCAGCTCATCCTTGGTGTTGCATAAGTCTCACAAATGCAAGGCCATTCCACCTGAAATAATGCAGGTGCTGGGTTGATGGAGGAGCCAGGATGGGAGCAGGCAGTGGGGCAGGAGACTCCATATAGGCATAATTCCCCCTGCACCACAGTACTGGGGGCTTCCAAGCAGCTCTGCTGAGCTTAAAGATGGCTCTGCAGCGAGAGCTGCATGGTGTCTAGGTGTCTCACCCCAGCTTTCCCTCTCTCTAGTTCCGTAACTGCATGATCACAACCCTCTGCTGTGGCAAGAACCCACTGGGTGACGAGGACACCTCTGCTGGCAAGACAGAGACCTCCTCCGTCTCCACCAGCCAGGTCTCTCCCGCATAGGCCCCACAGGAGCAGCCAGTCCCTGGGTGCTGGCCTGGGAGCACAAACTCCCCCACCTGCCCCTGCTTCACCATGGCAAGGCCCAGTGGGGCACACTCTTCGCTCCTGGCTCTGGGAACCCTAGGAATAAGGCTGAAAATGTGTACACACGTTTTGTAATTATCATGCAAAGGCTTAGCTCCTCTGGCATAAATCCACACATTTCTTTTGACTTGCTGAGAGCTCATGTCCCTTCTCTGAGTGCAGACTGGGTCGGAGAGCTCTGCCGTGCCTGGGCCATGGCAGTGCTGCCCTTGCCTCCCTCACCCCACCCTGACACCCCAGCCAGGGCACGTTCTGCATCTGCTGCTGCCGGGGCCAGAGCTGGGGCCGCTTTCTGGCTCTTTTGCCAGAGATGGATCCTGGCCAGTGCTGCTCAATCCCTCAGCCCCATCATGCTCTGTCTGCCCAGAGCACATTTGGGTGCTGCAAAGTGCCCTGGCTCTGCCAGATGCTCCCAGCTCCGGCCCTGTCCCATCTGCCAGAAGTCCTGGGAGACCCTGTGGTTCCTCCAGGGGGTGGGACAGGTACCGGTGCAGGCAGGAGGGTCCTGCCAGCACAGCACAGCCGTGCAGCACTGGTAGGGCCAGCTCTGTGCTCTGTCTTCAGCACTGGTGCAGCAGCACATGGAGAGTTTGCACCCTCGGCAGCAGCTCTGCTCCAGGTCCCCCTGCACCCCCTCCCCACAGTCCTATCTCTCTTCCTTAGGCATCTTTGGACCCCTAGGGCCAAGCCCCCAACAAGTTCACCCATGCCCCTCCCCACTTTGGCTGTGGTGGGCCTGGCCTCGGCCCAGCAGGAGGTTCTGGGCAGCTCTGGTGCCATCGAGGCACGGGGCTGATCCCCCTCCACAGCAGCAGGCACGACCCAGCAGCATATGGCTCAGCAAGGCCGACATATGTTCGAAGCACTACAAGATGGCATATTGCAATTGTAGCACTGTTCTTCATTTTTATTTTTAGTTCAGTTATACAAATAAGATGTTTTTCTCACTGTTCAGTGTTATCAACATTTGAAACTATTTTTGTACATTATTATCCTCTCTGATTTCTAATCCTATGCAGCTTTGCAAGGACTAATAGGGAATGTATAGAGCCCATGCGAGTTAAACCCTTAATAAAGAGCAATTTGCAAGTACAATTCTCTCATTATTTTTTTTATCGATACTTCTGCATATTCAGTGAAATCTAAAGATTAGAGTTTTATGAATAATTCAGTGTTTAGGCTGATGTCTGATTCATGTACTTCAAATCTGGGAGGTGGTTTTGGAGGGAAGAGGAGGAAGGATTTAGCATTATTTGCTGTCCGTGAGGCTGTGCTCCACAGGAGTGTGGTGATGCCTGGCACTGTGGCTCTCCCACTCGTGGAGGACCAGCCCCGGCACAAGGCCTGGCCCCAAGCCCTCAGGCTGTCCTCACACTGTTACACCTGGCTGCTGCTGCTGGTGCTGGGGGCAAGCAAGGGTTTAGGACCCTCCTGCCAGCTCAGCCAGGTCCCAGGGGCATCACAGAGCTACCAGAGAGGTGATGGATAGAGCCAGGATGAGGAAATGCATCCAAATGTTCCGTGGTGTCAGCCCCAGCAGCTTTCCTGTGCCCCCGCTGTCTCCTTCCTGGGGAATTCAGAAATGGACTGGAAATGAAGCAATAAACAGGCTGGTGCTGGTCTGGGGAGGAGGAGGGCAATGGGTCTATCTCCCAGCTCCTTGCTCCAGAGCTGGCTCCTACTGGCACCTCAGCCAGGATCTGGCCCCTGGGCTCAAGAGGTGAGCACAGACCTTGACAAAGATCTCCATGGGCAGGGCTTTTCAGGTCCATTGCTGTGGTCTGCTGAGATGGCCATGAGCCAGTCCTGCCATCATGTAATCCCACTTTAAACTTCCTCATGTTTCCAACAGACAATGCACACAAAATCCATGTGAGTCCTGCATAAAGCAGGCGGTCCCCGCAGTGGGGACATCTGCACTGTTTGTACACCAAAGAGCCAGTGGTGTTTCACTCAGGTTCTCCTCACAAGCACAGGTGCCTGCACGGAGGGGTCATGGAAGTGACAGGGCTGCCCATGTCCAGGGCTGGGAGTGCTTTCCCCTGAACATGGGATTCAGTGAGTGGGGGAAAACTGTTGTCCTGCTTGTGACACCTGGGGATACTGGGGGAGAATTACTCCTCCTGCCTCTGCTGGCCAGCCAAGCAGCTCTTCATTTTCCTCCTCTCACTTGTGGAATCTTCCCACCACCCCATTTTCAGAGTCCCATTTCCTAGTGAGGCTGTACCTGGTAAGGGAGACAGCACATCCCACCTTCACACTGCTCTGGGCTGGTTCCCTGTGCACCCCACAGCAAGTGTTGTCAGCAAGCTGCAATCCCAGCACCCCAACACCCAGCTAGCAGCACATAGACACCTTTCATCTGCCTGTTCAGGGTAATCATCCTGCAAACCCCCATCTCTCATCCTTCTCCAAACCCTCAGCTTAGGTGTGCCCCTTCCCCCTCCAGCCCCTCACAAAGCTTTGTCAAAGGGCCTTCAACTTCCAGACCCAGCTTCCACCAGGGCTTCTACCACAGCAATCAGCAGCTGCCAAGCAGCACCTGTGGCCAGGCTGCTCTTCAGATAAATTGGATGGAGGTGAGCTGGGTGTGGCAGGAGGATTTGTAGTGCTGTGGGTTGAGGTGCCTGTGACTGCCTGGGTTTGTGCACTGCCATGGAGCCTCAGCTGGGTACGGGGTCTGCAAGTGCCGTGGGGTTCTTCAGAGCTGGAGCTTGGCTCAGGCTCTGGGCTATGATGGCTGGGGTCCCTGGGGGGCTACAGGGATGAGCAGGGTTGTGGCTGCTTGGCTTCTGGGGGTTTTGAGGCTGCTGGGGGTGTGGGTGTCTCAGGACTGGGCTCCAGTCCCAAATGGTCCCTCTTCCCAGCAGCCAAAGCTGCTGGCATAGCCCAGCGCTGTCAGGCCCAGCACCCTCCAACCCTGCAGATGATCAAGGAGGCGCTGCGGGCCCATGATGAGAAGAAGGGTGCCTCTGTTGTTGCCATCAAGCGTTTCATCCTGGCCAAGTACCCCACTGTGGATCCCATCCGCCTCAAGTACATGCTGAAGCAGGGGCTGAGTAAGGGGCTGAGCTGTGGGGACCTGGTGCGGCCCCACAACTCTTCTGCTGTGGGGGCCACTGGCACCTTCAAGGTGAGCAGGGGCTGCTGGGGACACAGGGCTGGGACTGAGGTGCTGCCTGGCCCTGTTGACAGCCCTCTCTCACCTCCAGTTAGCACTCAAGAAATCACGGCACAAGCAGCAGCTGGGCCAGGCAGATCCTGATGGAGGACAGACCCCAAAGCCAGGACAGGCAGGGACCACCCAGGCCCCTGTGGCAGGAGCACGACAGCGAGGTAAAGAGCTGCTGGTGCTGTGAACAAGCTCACGGTGCCTGGCCTCTCCTGGACTCATCTTCTGCCCGTCCTCACAGGTGCCACCAAGCAGCAGCCAACAGCCACCAAGCAGCAGCCAAAGGCAAAGCCTGTGAAGGTGAGTCAGGGCCAGCAGTGGGGTTGGGTGGCTCATGGCATAGCAACACCCTGAGGTGCTTTCTTCTCTTCCCTGCAGGCCCAGACACGAGCAGCAGAGAAGCCCAGGAGTGACAGAGCGAAGCATCCCCAGACTGCTGGCCGGTCCCGGGCTCGTGGCCCAGGGCCTTCAGGGCCCCCCAGAGCTGCCAGCCACCGCCAGGGCCCCCGGAAAGGACACTCGGGACCCAGCACAGCTCGGGCAGCCGAGAATGCAGGAGGGACTGATAGCGACAGTTCTGCAAGTGCTGGGGCAAAGGGGCCCCAAAAGGCCCCCAAGGGAAAGAGCAAGGGGAAGGTGCCCAAGGGGGCACAGCAGGATGCCCCCAAGGCACAGGGAGGTCAAGATCAAGCAAAGAAGCCCCGGGCAACTCCAGGAGCTGGGCAAGGGAAGGCCAGGCTGAAGAAGGCAGTCCCCGTGGCAGCAGACAGAAAGGCCCCATAAGGAGCTTATTACTGCTTCAGCTGGCCTCAGGCCCTTGAGGTCTGGACTGCTTTCAGTCCCTAGTACAGGTTTTAATTGTGTTCACCTTATCCTAATAAAGCTTCTTCACTTGCCTCATGGAATGGCATGACTGTTGTGGTCCCTGTCCCTGTGCTTCCATCTCTCTGCCAAAATCTGCAGGGCATGGTGGTGAGCTGATGCTGCAGGTGGCTGCCTTGCTGCCTGCCCTCGTGGAGAGGTGTTCTCTCTGTCCACGTGTCCCAGCTGTGGTGCCAAGGGGCCGCTGGGTTTAGGGGCTGTGTGTGTGCAGGCTGACTGTGCCAGGTGATGGGCAGGGACCCCAAGACCCATGGGACACAGCATGGTGGCATCGCCATCAGGAACAGAGCAGCTCAGGCATGGTCAGTGCTGTTGTGGAACCATGGTGCCCACAGCCTGTGTGAGGTGTTGTCCTCTGTTGTCCTGGCTGCCCTTGTGCTAATGCTTGCCTGAGCTGAGATTACAGGAGCACCAGGGTGGCAGGTCTGAGTTCATGCCATGGGCAGATGTCTGCCAGCAGAGGTGAAGCAGCCTGTGCTTTAACTGTAGTAAGAGGAAGATAGAGGTGTCTTAGGGCTCAAAAACCAAGTTTGGGATGTTACTGTAGCCTCCAGCATAGCTCCTGCTCTTATTACTGGTCTATGGCACAGTTCCTACCTACAAACTTGTGAGCTTCTGTGTATCACACTTCCATTTAATAGCTTCAATTGCCTGAATTTCTCTTGCTAAGCCCAGAGCAGGGCCCTTCTGAAGGTCATGCTGATCATGTAATGGGTTAAAGTCTTCCTGGGTGGGAGAAAGTAAGTGGAAGTAAAATTCTTTCTAAAGAGGATTTTGTTAATCTGCAGCTGGCCTTGCCACTGCCCTCCAAGGCTCCTGGCCTTGCTCTGGGGCTTAAGCAAGAGCTGAGCAAACTAGCTTCTCTTAAACTTCAGCCTTGACTATGTTGATCCATCTTTAAAGGAACTGGCACTCGTGTGCCCGCAGGGACAGGGTAGGGAATGTGGTAGCAGTGTCTGAGCAGAGTTCATTGGATTCTCAGATGGGGATGGCCTCACAGCAGCACTCAGCCATGTGGCAATGTCCCCAGCAGCACCAGGCAGGGGCTGTGTCCTCCCTCTCACCAGCCACCAGGTGTGAAATGCAAAGCTCTCTTGCTTTGAGGAAGGCCAAATAACTTAATGTCTGGATTTAGCTTTGCAAAGAATCAGCTTCCTAGTGGAAGAAGAAAATCCCTCTGGTGTCTGGAAAGCACTGCTTTTACTGGGGGAGGGGAAAGATTTATCTGTGCCGTGGTTGTTAAGGGCCCTGGTGTCGGGGCGCAGGGAGGCACCTGGCAGAAGTGAGGGTGCCTGGCTGCAGCTGCTTCTGTGGGGCTACTGATCTTCATGTGCCAACTGTCCCCTCCTGTGCCTGGCCTGGGATGGAAGGGTGGCACTGGCTGTGGGAGTGGTGTGTGGAGAGCCCCAAGGAGTACAAACCTGCTCTCTCTGGGCTGCTGATCCCAAATGTGGTTTGCCTTGCATGTGCAAAACTTGTCTGTGCAGGTGTCTTCCCCGTGTGCTTGGCAGGAACTCACTCCATAGGTTCAGCACCTTGTTTTATTACAAAGATAGGCTTTGCCAGGAGTCTGCCACTTCCACTACACAGCAGGTAAGGGCACTACATCCACAACACATCTTACAAAGGGCTCGGAGTTTCAAGGCAACACTACAAACCCTCTGCTAAAGTTGTTCCTTTAAATGGTTGTAGCAACTACTTTTTCTTTTTTTTTTTTTTTTTTTTTTTTTTTTTTGTCTTTGGAAAAGAAATTAAATAATAAGACAATAGCCCCAATACATGGCCCAGCCACAGCACCTGGAGGCAAGCTCTACTTTCTCTTGGCTCACCTGTATCCTTTCCCTGTAACAAACAATATGGGGCTATAGCTCCATGGCCCTTTCCCTGCCTCCAGCCAAGCTCGACATTCTCTGCTACCTTGATCCTTCTCACCCTGGCCTTTCCTGTGCTGGGCCTGCCTACATCTCTGGCTATTCACAGCTTCTAAAAGACAAAAACATCAAGAAATTTTTTGTGAAATCACTTTCAAAATAAAATGTAGCCCAGCTACATTCTTAGAGTTTCTATTCTGAAGCCATCCTCAGCAAAGACATTGAGACCTCCACAGTGTAAGTACTTTTTCTGCAGTTCTCTTTAAAAAAACTCCCTCCCCACCTTTAAACATACTGGATAAAGTCTACTGTTTGCTTTAAAATAGATATCTATGTACACATACACAACTCTGATGTTCTGGTTTCTGACAAACGTGGCATTACTGGAATTGATGGAACGGAGAGCACCTGTCCATGGCAGTGAATCACCCAGGAGTTTTGGTGGACAAATTCATCCACTGCCAGACTGCATCCTAGCCAGCTGGATGACTAAGAAAGGCTTCCCTTGCACCCTCCTGCAGTGAGGTAGTAACTGTTTCTTCCCTGTGTGGCAGCCCCTGCCCTGGTGGGGCAGCAGCCTTTGCCTGAGCAGGAGCGCTGGCTTTGAGCCCTGCAGGGACTTGTGTGACATTGGACACCAGAGCGGTCACAGCTGCCCAGGCTGCAGGAGGGAGAACAGGCCACCAGGCTGGGCTGGCAGGGTGCCACTGGGGTGTCTAGTCTCGGGCAAGCTCCATTTCTCTGCCACTGGGACCCTCTCAGTGACCCCAGCCTGAGCTGGGACACTCTCTACCTTAGTTTGCAGCTCTGGGTGCTGGGGATGCTCTGCTGGCCTGTGTCACTGCTGGGTTGGGTCCAGTCCCTCTGCCTTTAAGGGCTGAAAACAGGCTGGCTATGCAGCCAAGCCCCACTTTCTTGGCTGCTCTCAGGTACCAGCCCCAGGGCTGGGCCCAAAGCAGGCAGAATAAGCCACTTTAGGAGACACCTCTGCAGGGCTGGCCTGTGCTTGGTGATGGTCACAGGGAGAGGCAATGTGACCTGGTGTTTGCCCTGTGTGTGGCTCGGGGCTGCCAGCAGGTGCTGGCCCTGTGGGCATGAGCGGTGTTCTGGGGCTGAGGTGGTGCAGTGCCATGGACACGTGTGGAGCCAGCGTGGGGACAGGAGCTGGGGGCACGGTCCTGCCCCCACCCCACCCGCCACAGCCGGTCTGGGACTGTGCCTGGGACCGGCTGCCTGCTGGAGCGTTCACTCCCCACTGCTCCAGCTGACCGTGCACGAGGCACGAGAGCCCAGGAAAGGCAGAACAGCCCTTCTCATGCTGACACGGACTGTGCTCCCTGCAGCTCCCAAACAGCTTTCTCCATCAGGGATAAAGTGCTTTCACCATGCTTTAGCTGCTTGGGAAGCAACTGCTTTGTCTCAGCCTCAAGTTCCCTGTGTTACTCAAGTCTCAGATGGAGGAGTGGTTATGTTTACACATACAGTACAAAAATTAAAAGGCACAAATATACACAGAATGCAGCAGATAGTGAACAGCTGATAAGAGTCCCCGGTGTTGGAAAAACATGGATGTTGGAGGGATGGAGTGGGAGCTCAGGCTGTGATGGTTTTTGCTGTCTGTGGTCATTACTCCCTGAGGTGACCCTTCTGCTTTGTGTCTGTTGTTCCAGCCTCTGCAGCCCCGTCCCGAGGAACCACACACAGGGATGCACGGAGTGCTGACTGCTTGGGTGCTGACCAAGGGGAAACTGGTGAACTAAGCTGGCCACAAGGGTCATGCCTCCACTTCTGGCTGGCAACAGCAAATAAATTATGGGTGCCACAGTGCAGACCAGAGTTTTAGCTGCTCAGAAAGGTGTCTTGTGGCTTCTTGTGAAGTGAGGCAAACCTTTAGCCATGGCCAGGCTCACCCCCTCCACAAGGCTGGTTTGAGTATGACCAAGGTATGCCTGCAGCTGATGGCAGGTTCCCTTGTGGTACTGTGCTGCAAGAAAGGTCACTTCCAGGGCTGCAGCCGGCCTAGGCTTCACTGCAGGACTCATAGATGTTGTCCTCCATGAGTGCAATCACTTGCTCAAATTTGTGCTGGAGCTGTGTGCGCTTTGTCGTGGAGTTTGCATCCAGGGCGGCCACGATCTGTGGGAGACACAGGCAGGGTGCTGAGGCAGTGTGGAGTGCCCACCTGCCAGCTCAGCTCCCCCCAGCAGTCCTGTGGAGCCCAAATCCCAGCCAGAGCCCCAAAAGGGAGAGCCCACCCTGCCCCACAGCCCCCATGCTCACGCCCCTAGCACCCCTGGTCTCCTAGTCAGGAGACTACTCTCCCTGGTCAGGGCCAGGAGTGGAGTGGTATACAACAAAAATGCACTGCTGTAACAGAGCAGAGGGCACAGCACCAGCCCACAGGTTGCAGGGAGGTGGGAGCCAGCCAGAGCTACAGCCTCAATGGAGCAGGAACAGCAGGTGCAAGTTATTTTGGGGGTGGACCTTATCTGCATGTTTTGCTCTCCTGAAAGGGTCTACACATCTGGTAGCTCTTCTTCAGCCCACTCAAATGCCATTAAGATCAACTGGGAATGACCAAACCAAGAAGTTGCCAGACAAGGGACAGAGAGTAGGTGCATCTGCATATGCATCTATTACATATGTAGTGCAATTATGCACACTCCTGTGTGGTAATCCCTGCTCTGTGGGACTAGATGCAGGTGTCTGCCTGTGGGGTTACTGCAGCAATGGTTCCTCCCTTCCCAGGCAGGCCAGAGCCCGTGTGCTGTACAACCCACTCACCTGGGAGCGGTATCTCTTGGCGTATTTGTATATCTCAGCCATGGCGACATTGGTGTTGAACTCATTTCGGTGTTTCTTTATAAAGACAGAAAAGAGAGGGGAGAACATTAGCAGGATGGAGCATGTGAGTTCCAGCCCAGCTAGCAGGCACTGACTACAGTAAAAGCAGATTGTGCCTGACTTTACTGTCACATTGGTATAGCTGGATTTTTAAGGAAGGTGTGTTTGCTTGCATCAGGATGGGTCTTGGTCTTTTCAAAGCCAGCTGTAAAATACCCATGCTGGGCAGCACTGCATACCCCTGTGCCCAAAGCCATTTCACATGAGGGGGCAGCACATCAGCTGCGCTGTGGAATATCAACAGAAAAATCCT